CTTACCTTTCTCCCTCTCGGGCACCAGGGTCTCTATGGGGGGCTGCAGCTCTCCTGACTCCAGCAGGCAGATCTTGGCTTGGGTCAGGAACCGCCGGAGGCCCTGGAGCAGCTCCACGGAGCTCCCCCCCCCCCCCCCCCCCCCCCCCCCCCCCCCCCCGGACCCGGTCAGCGAATGCAGCGCCCCCCTCTGCTCCAGCAGGAAGTCCTGGACCCGACCCCCGAACAGGGACCCGCGGTCCCGGGAGAGCGCCCCCACCAGGCGGGTCAGGCGTTTTTCGGGGGGCCAATAAGGATCCAGGAGGGGGGGGCGCCGCCCTGGACCCCCCCGGACCCGGTCCAGGTCCCGGTCCCGGTCCCGGTCCAGGTTCTGGTCCTGGTCCAGGTCCTGGTCCTGGTCTGGGTCAGAGTCTGAGTCCAGGCTGCTGAAGGAGCTGCTGCTGTCCAGCTCAGAGAGGGGGGGGGCAGGCCGGCCCTCCAGGGCCATTAGGGCCCCCCCCATGCCGGGATCAGGCTCCGCCCACTCAGGCCCAGGCTCCGCCCACTCAGGATCAGGCTCCGCCCCCTCAGGCTCAGGCTCCGCCTCCTGGGGCTCCTCCATGGGGGCCGGGGTCTGGAACAAGCAGAACAAGTCAGTCAGACTCATTGATCACTGATCTGCGTCACTTATAACAAAATTACTTTTACTAATACTTTATTTATTTTTAACTTTCTAAATGTTCTAAAATTGATTTTTTAAACGATTTTTTTAAAATGATTTTTTTATTTAATTATCTATATTTTATTTACATTTTATTTGAATTTAATTTAAATGTTTTTAGAATTTTATTGATTGATTGATTGACTATTTGATTTATTTTGTTATTTATTAAATTTTTTTTGTATCTATGTTCTATTTATTGATTTATTTATCTTATTCAGTCAGTCAGACTCATTGATCATTGATCAGCGTCACTTACAACAAAATTACTTTTACTACTACTTTATTTATTTTTAATTTTCTACATGTTCTAAAATGGATTTTTTTAAATGAATTTGTTAAATGAATTTTCAATTAAATATTTATTTGTATTTTATTTATCATAATTAAATACATATTTTATCATTTAAATATTATATAATATTGTAATATTATTATTATTCCAATTTTATTGATTTATTTATTGATGTATTTATTGATTGACTGATTTAGTTATTCATTACATTTTTTGTATCTATTTTTCTATTTATTTATTTATTCATTTAGATTTCTTTCTTTCTTTCTTTCTTTCTTTCTTTCTTTCTTTCTTTCTTT